CCTGGGAATCTCCAGGCAAGAACACTGGAGTGGGTTGCCATTTCCTTCTCCATGCATGAAAGTAAAAAGTGAAAGTGAAGTCGCTCAGTCGTGTGCCAAATAAAAATCACACAGCCAACGTGTGAGGACACAGGAAAGTTTAAAGAAACAAGGTGGGAAAAGATATAGCAGGCAAATGTATCCAACAGAAAGCTGAGCTTCGAAGAGCTCCGCTGGGTGCAGAGTCGGCCCCTCGCACTCAGGGCCTGTGACTCCGCAGGGGTGTGACCTGAGGACAGAGCTCTAGGTAAACAGCCAACCCCCTCCAGGCTCGGAGACTCTTACGTGCCTGCCAAGTAGACAGGAAAGGTAACAAGCCTGAAGACGCTATAAGCCAAGCATGACCCAAAGGGACAGGTATCAAACATGGTATCACCAAGTGCCAAACACACGGCCCTTTTCAGGACAAGCAGAACACATACGAACACTGGCTTCAAACGGAGCTCCAGAACCAGTCCTAAAACATCCTAAGGGCCCGGTGTCATACTGACCACCCTCTGTGACCACAATGCGACTCAGTCAGAAACAAAAAAGAAGAAATGAATTCAACAATGGAAAAATAACTAACAGAAAAAGGTTTGGATATGAAGAAACTTTGAAATATCCCACCATGCTAAAGAAAGGAAAATGGAAATTTTTAAGAAAGATTTTAAACTCAACAACTCTACGCATAAAAGCTTGTGAAATGCAGCCAGAACATTACTTATTCCGCAGGTTTAAAATCTTACAAGAGGGACTTCCCTGGTTATCTGGTTAAGAATCCACCTACCAATGCAGGGGACACAGGTCTGATCTCTGGTCTGGGAAGATGCCACATGCTGTGGGGCAACTAAGCTCGAGCACCTCAGCTACTGAGCCCGCGCCTGGCACCAGGAGAGCACAGCAACGAGGGCCCAGCGCCTGGCACCAGGAGAGGCCACTGCAGAGGGGCCCCGCACACCCCAACTAGGGAAACCCGCACAGCAACGAGGGCCCAGCGCCTGGCACCAGGAGAGGCCACTGCAGAGAGGAGCCCACGCGCCGCGGTGCAGAGGAGCCCCGCACACCCCAACTAGGGAAACCCGCACAGCAACGAGGGCCCAGCGCAGCCAGAGGCAAATAAATCCATGAGCAATTAAAAAACCGAACACACAAGGAAAGGAGGAAAAAGAAGGAGCTATGTATGTATCTTAAGAGATCAGAACACGTACACGTAACAAAAATAAAGAGCATAAACGGAAAGGAAGATGTGAATATTCATTTAAAAAAACCGATGTACCCTTGGTGAGATAGATCAGCGTGTGGATGCCCACCCACACGGTCAACAGAAGGAATCAAAAGGGGACAGCTCTACAGGTCCTGCAGGTATTTTTTAAGAAAAGAATATTAGGAACAACTTTTTGTCAATAAACTTGAAAATCAAGAGAAAATGGACAAATTCACAAAAAAATGTATTTCTAAAGCTAACTGAAAGGCAGGGAATCATTAAAGCAGTCGAGTCAGCAGTTACCCCTGCCCCAGAGCAACCTGGAGTCAGGTCCCCTGACCGGCGATTTCACCATCGCCCGGACGTTCATGGAACAAACAACTGCTTCACACAGACCACGCAGTGGGGCAGCTCACTCTGCAAGTATCTCGGCATCAAAATCGGATAAGGGCAGCGGAGGAGCAGATTACAGACCCCAGACAGAGATGCAAAGGCCTGAGCAAAGTCTGATCCCATCTACCTACCTAAGGGAAGGGGACCAGGGCACCTCCAGGCCGGCACGCTGCTATGTTTCCAAGAGGGAGAGGCAAGTTTAATGCTGTAAGAGCCACATCGGCAGGGAAAGGAGCAGGACAACATCCGGCTCTCAGAGCTTAATCACACCCAGCGCCAGCGCAATACAAGCGCCCGGCGAGCCCCCGCGGAGAAACCCCAGCGCAGCCTCCAAAGTGGCTGGAGTTGAAATGATGGGGGAACACAGGACCTGCACGGAACGGCTGGTGGGCTACGCTGGGGTGCGTGGACCACAGGGCGGCCACGGCCCGGGCAACCAGCACTCGCCCTGCGCGGGCTGCGGCGGACCCAGCACACGGACGCCAAAGCTCACGCTCCAGCTGCAGCCCCCTCTGGAGGGTGAGCCAGGGAGAGGGCGCCACAGGAGGGTTCACGGGAACCTGCGGGTTCAGGAAACTCGCAGAGAGATGTCTGACCCTGTAACGTCAATTCACAAACCTCAACAGGACGGAAAATCAGGGGGCAAGTGCAAGGGTTCAAAATGCCCCAGACCCCACTGAAGCGGGTCGACCGGGGTGGGGGGGGTGAGGCAGGAGGCTGCTCAGGGGATCCCCGCAGGGGGCGGGGACAGCGGGAGGCTAGGACTGGGGGTCACTGAAGGGGGTGCAGTCTGTTCCCTCAAGGAAATCCAGGAAACCGAACCTGCCTCTGTCAGAGCCCCGCAGGCCTGGCACCAGCTCCCAGGGAGAACAGAGAGCTCTCTCGACAGCCCCAGGGAGGACAGACCACAGGACAAGACCAAGGCCAACACCAGGTGCACCTTGGGTGGCATCACAGCCTTGCAGAGAAGAGGGTGGTTTCAACACAGCGCTGAAAAGGAATTACTGGCCCTTAAAAACCCACTGAGGCTCAAGTCAAGGGATAAAACAAGAGAAAAAAACTGGCAAGAGAGATGAACAAGAATTTCGCTGAGGGGGAAGTACAAGTGGCCTACATCGGTAATCAGAGAAATTCAAATTAAAACCACAATACCATTTCACACCCACCAGATTGGCAGTGATTAAAAGTCAGGCAGTGTTGGCAAGAGTGCAGAGCAGTGGGGACGCCAGTGGGGGTGAGCTGGCACAGTCGCTTCGGGAAGCCTCCTGGTAGTAACACTGAGCACACGCCCCCCCCCCCAAACGCTACTGCCAATGCAAGAAGGCCCAGGGGTGGCTTCGTCACTAGTCCAAACCGGGGGCCGGCCACGGTGCCCAGACAGAGCGAAGACACACCGCTGCCTCACGGGGGCCAGCGGGCACCCACACCGGCAGCTCCAGTGGTCAGAGCCGGAAGCGTGCGCCAAGCACACGGACAGAGCGATGCCTCTGCACCCAGTCTCCAAACAGGCAGGGGGGACAGCCTGCCCAGGGGCCTGCTCCAGGGGGCAGCAGGGCCAGCAGCGCCCGTGGGGAGGGCCGCGCTGGGACAGGCTGGGGTGTTCTGTGCCTGCCCACCCCATGGCCGCTGGGCCCCAGGCCCACAGAACAACCTGCCTGCCCTGCTCCCAGACCCACCCAGGGCAGAGCTGTGGAACCCCAAGCCCTGGCGCTGCCTAGCTCCTGCCCCCCCATCCCACCCCTTCCCACACACACACAGCAGGGTGGGCGTTCTAGACCAGCTCCACGCCCCGGACCCCCGCCGGCTTCCCCACCTCCCTCTGGTTAAAACCTCAGTGGTCTTTTCAGAGCCGCAGGAGACCGCTGAAAGGTGCAGGAGAGGCAGGCTGCACTCCTAGCTCTGGGGGGAGGGAGGGTGTATGTACTCGCCAGGAGCGGGGCATCTGTGCCCTCGGGGAGAGCAAGAGGTCTGGGGGGGGGTGGTTTTGCTGATGATGACGGGGTGGCAGAGAGAAGGAGCACAGTGTGTGTGTGGGGGTGGTCCAGCATGACCCAACACTGGGCCTAATGCCAAGATGGGAAAGAGAAGGGCGGAGACCAGGCCTGGGCAGGTGAGACCTCCCAGAGAGGAGACAAGCAGGCAGACGTCCTGAGAACACCCCACCCTCCCAGAGGCCCACAGAGGGAGCACCCAGCCTTCCACTGGGCACAGCCACACCCGGAGCTGAGGGCCCCACGCTTGGGAGGGCATCCCAGCACCTCTGCGTGCCCAGCACCTGCCCTGCACACCTGTTGACGGCGCCGCAGCAGAGCCCCCTCCGCACACACGGCCACGTCCTCTGGTCCCGGCCGGAGGTCTCCCCAGGGAGAGCTCTTCCTGGCTGCCCGCCCACAGCCCTCGTGGCCTGGTGTCCACTGCAGAACCAGGCCCTGGCATGACTCTTGTCTCTCTTCCCCCTCAGCCTGGGAGCTTCCTCAGGAAGGACCACTGATTGGGAAAAAGCCCCCAGAGCTTCCAGCTGGCAGGAGCAGCAGGAGCCGGCCGAAGCCCTGCCCCATGGGTGAGCCGCGTCCAGCTGTACTGGTGGGGACCGGGCGCTTCTCCACCAAGTGAAGCGGGCAGCGTCTCTGGCGATGGCATGATGCAAGGAGCAGTGTTTATGTCCAGGGAAGTCCCCAAATTACAAAGCACAGTGCAAACGGAGAAAGGGCGGACACTCCGGCCAGCAGGACAGAGGGGTAGAGTCAGACCCTCAGAAGGATGAAACAGTACAGCCCTGGTCCCAGATGCGTGTCCTCTGGACGCTGCGTGCTCCGAGAGTGACTCCCAGGCCACCCAGGCGTGACAGTGTGGCCGGACGCAAAAGGAAATCTATGGTACCCGTTGGAGAGAAGAGACACCACACCCTAAGTCAACTCCACCGGCACCGCACCGGTAGGCAGGTGCAAGGATGCGGGACGGGCGCGAGCCAGGTGAGCGCCCGCGAGAGCCCCGCGAACCGCGGGGCCTGTGAGAGCCGGCGCCGCTTCCTCGGCTGCACTGGACCAAGACCTCAGGGACCATCCACGCGTCTGGGCTCGCGCGCAGAGAAGGCGCGCACCCGAGGTGGGGCGCCAAGGCCACGGCCCGGGGTGGGGATCCCGGAGTGGACGGCCCCCGGGGCAGGCCCCCAGTGGGGGTCCCGGGGTGGTCGGTCTCAAGCGGGGACCCCAGGGTGGATGGTCCCGGTGCACGGCCCGGGGCGGGGGGGCCCGGTGTGCAGGTCCCAGGAGGCCGGGCGGGGGTGCAGGCCCGAGAGGGGGCCCGGGCGCGAGGTCCCGGGGGACCGGTCCCCGGGGCCGGCAGGTGCGCGCGGGAACAAAGCGGCGGGCGGGCGGCGTACCTGGGCACGCAGCTAGGGCTGGAGCCATCCACCTCCCAGGTGGCGAACAGGTTCATGGGCACCGGCGTGTTGAGCGCGGCGGGCGCGCCGGCCAGGCCCAAGCGGCCCCGCTCGGCCATGGCGCCGGCCCCCGCCGCTTCCTCGGCGGCCTGGGCTGCGGCCGGGCCGCGGACGCGCGGCGGGCGGGCGGGCGGGCCGGGCGCGCGGAGGGCGGCGGCGCGGTCACATGGCTGCCGGGCGGCGGGGCCGGCCGGGCGGGCGTCGGACAGGCCCGCGGGCGGCGACCAGGCTGCGGCCGCCCCGCCCCACCCCGCCCGCGCGCGCGCCCGCCGCGCGCGCCCGCCCCCGGCCGCGCCGCCGTCGCCCATTGGCTGGGCGGGCGCGCGCTCGCCGACTCGAGCCCAATCATGGCGCGCGGAGGGCTCACCGGAAGTGAGGTTCGCGCGCCCCCTCCCGCCAGCGACCCAGGAGGCGCCCCCGCCCGCGGCCTTCGGGAGCGCGCCCCCGCGCCTGCGCACAGGCCCCGCCCAGAGCGCCGCGCCCCGCCCACCAGAAGCCGCCGGGAGGGGCCGGAGAGACCCCAGGGTCCGCCAGCAACCCTGAGCCCCGCAGCCACCGCCCCGGCCTCCGCGAGTCCCCGACCCCCACTGCTACGCATCCCCGAGTCTGCCCGCTCCCACGCGCTCCCCGCGTCCCCTGACGCCCCCCTTCCCCTGCCGTGCCCCGTGTCCTCGGCCCCGACTGCCTGGACCACCCGCCAGGCCCCCGCGGCCCTGGAGTCCTCCGGAGGCTCGCCCACCCCGCGAACCCGCCTTGCGCCCCCGGCGTCCCCACGCGCCCTTCTCCCCCCCCCACCCCCGCCCCGACTCCCCCGGCGGATCGCCTGGGCGGGACGTGGAGCAAGGGGACCGGGGTTGCGGAGGCCAGCCGCATCGCCCTCCCCCACCCCGAGCTCCTGCCCGCGGGCGCACTGGGGCGCTCAGGGGCTTGGTGTGCTCCTCCACAGACCCCCTCTGGAGTGTCCTCTTTCTGGCTTAGCCTCCTTATTATCAGGCAGTGCCCTCACTGCGGTTTTTAGGATGACACTGGAGAACAAATGTCTGGGAGCAGAGGCGGCCTTTGGTGTGGGGCTCCCAGTGAACTCGGGAACCCAGACAAGGAGGCAGTGACCAGCGCTGCCCACTGGGCCAACGGGGCAGCAGAGGTCAGGAAAGGTCCTGGAAAACAGCATCTCGTTTTGGGGGCCCGAGGAGGGGTCCCCTCCCCCTCCTCTTGGCCCCGGTTCTGGTCAGTCACCAGATCCTGCTGCTGAGATTTAGGAAAAGCTGTTCTGGCATCTCTTCTGCTTCTTTGTAGCCACAGTAAGCACAGCTGCTTCCCTCCCTGCTCCCGTCTGTGTCTCGTCGTCTACTGAAAACAAGCCCAGCCCCAGCAAACCAACTCGCCCTTGGGGTTTACCCTCCAGCACCCCTGTCAGCTCTTCCTCCTGCAACAGGCCCCACGCTGGCTCCCCGCCCCCCACCCCCACCCTTTGTAAGAGCTCGCCTCCAGCTCTGACTCCCTCTCTGGAGCTGCAAACAGCTGTGGCTGCTTAAAGCTGGGGTGGCACTTCGGAGAGAACAAGAGAACCTGTGTTCCCCGCATGTTCCTGCGCCTTTGGTGGGGTGCAGCTGAAAGCCACGCGGGGCCGTCTGTCCCTGGCCAGCTGACTGGGTATTGTCTTACATAGAGGCTCCTGCCAGGCAGAGTGCCTGCGGGTCTCATGCCTCCGAGGTGGGGGAGGGGACATCCAGAGACCGCCTACAGCCCCCTGTGAGGACAGGGGCCTGCTGACCTGAGTGTTCAGCCTGTGATGGTGCCAGGCAGCAAGAGGTGCAGTGGCCTGAGATGAAGGGCCACCTGACACATTGTGTCTGCGTGCACTGACATCTCACCCAGGAGAGGACTATACCTGGGGGTCAAGTGAGGAACTTTGGGGTGACTAAACCGGAGATGAGGGGGCTCAAAACCAGCTGTGCCCTGCATCTGTACCGGGCACCACTGTGAGCCCTTCACGGACCGAACAGCTCTGTCCCATCCCCATTTTACAGATGGAGACACTGAGGCACACGCGGCTATTCAGTCTCTGGTGGGAGGAGCCAGGGTGTGGTTTCACACGGTCTGGTCCAGAGCTGCCCTGATAACAGTGACAGGGAAGTGCTTAACTCCTCCTGTGAGGTAGGGAGGCAGAAACTAGGAGGGCTCTGTGTGCTCCATCTGTGGCTCTGTTTACATTTTCTGTTTATAAACGGGGGTGGGATCATATGCACACCAAAACGGAGGCGGTGGTGGTGCGGTGAAGTGGGCGCCTCACTTTGAGGTCAGTCATTTCCTCGTCAGAACCTGTCCCACGCGTGGCCATTCCCTGTATCCGAAAATGACTGGACTGTGTGCCGCAGGGTGAGTGCCCCAAAGGCTGGGAGGACACCCCTCCGGATGGCGCAGCCTGACACACGCCCCACCCCCGACACACACACTAATGTTGCAAGCACGCTGTCGTTTTGGATGGCTGTTTTTGTAAAACAGAAACTTGGCTAAAGAGGAACCTCTCTGGGCAACTGGGTGGCCTTGCTGGGAGGCAGCTGGAGGACGGGGTTGTCCAGAGCACTGAGGTCCCAGGGGGGCACCCTGAACCCCTGTGCTAAGACCCTGACAGTGCGCCACCTGCCTGCCGAGGGTTTCAAACGCCTTAAGGCCTCGGCTTTCCAAAGGGCGCGCTAGGACGCCCGCAGGCTGGAAGCCCCGACGCAGGAAGACGGGACCATGTAGCAGCTGGCAGCCGCCTTCCTGCGATCCCACCCGCTGGGGGGCCCTGCGCCGGCCAGCCCCGGCTCTCGCTTTTCTTTGGGGCCCTCTGGGCCGCAGGCTCAGTTCACTCTGAGTTAAAAGGAGTCGCTCCAGGCGTGGGAGGCCTCGCGGCCCCTGCCGGCAAGAAGCTCCGCTCCGGAGCGGACCCCGCGGCGTTTCTCTCCCGCGGGAGCCGCGCGGCGCGTTTCCCCGCGCCTGGAGCGCCGCAAACCCGGGAGCGCACACTCGGAGGAGGCGGGTGTGCTCCTCGGCCTAGTGGTCTTGGGAGCGGCTCCAGCCGGGCAGGTGAACGACCAGCGCTTCCTGCAGGACCCAGGCACCTGCTCAGCTGCACGGCTCCCTCCTGGCCCAGTCCGCAGCTTGGCGGCATCTCCTTTCCCCGGGGTGGTGCTGTGAAGCCGCTTATGGAGGAGCAAGACCCTGGCCGGCCCAAGCTCCTGGCAGAACCCCCTTGACGTGACCTGTGTCCCATCCAGGCCTATGGGTGGAAGTCGTGGTAGGGCTGAGGCACCATCACTGGGATAGGACGGAAACTGCACAGCAGCTGGGCAGAGGACAGGATGGCCAGGGAGGCACGACCTCACCCCGCAGGGCCACGATGCTGGGAACGCTGAAGGAGAGGCCTGTCTAAGGCGCTCCAGGAAGGGGGATCGGCCCCTACCTGGCCCAAGAGCCGCAGGGGCGGTGGACTCAGCTTGAGGGCAGCCCTGGCCCTCCAACCATTGGTATTCAACATAGGGGTAGAGGTTCAGACACACGATATCCACCCGGCTGAGCTTCGTGAGCCAGGGTGGCGCCCAGCATCTATCCTCTGAGTTGTTATTTTTCAGTCGCTCAGTCGTGTCTGATTCTCTGCAACCCCGAGAACTGCAGCCTGCCAGGCTTCCCTGTCCTTCACCATCTCCCAGAGTTTGCGTATATAACTCATGTTCATTGAGTCTGTGATGCTATCTAACCATCAGGACAGATGGTTATAGATGCAATGCAGGCGACCTGGGTTTGATCCCTGGGTTGGGAAGATTCCCTGGAGAAGGGAATGGCAATCCACTCCAGTATTCTTGCCTGGAAAATCCAATGGACAGAGGACCCTGGCGGGCTACACCCATGGGGTCGCAAAGAGTCAGACACAACTGGGCAACTAAGCATGCATGAGCATTCTGTGACTTGGATACAGTACAACCTGTTTACATAGGTATCCATTTAGGGTGGGGGTTTAGGCCGACATCATGTATGTGGGAAAGCATTAGTGGCAACCCGTTAAAGTGGTCAGATTAGTCCTTAAGACGTTCATAAGAGCTCATGTTTTAGAGGAAGGGAGGAAGAAGTTATGCTGTCATTACTAATAGAATTTGGTTATATCCTTAGAAAATGTGAGAGAAGAGCCGGGGAAAGGGATATAACTCTGCAAAACTGAGACTGTCACAGGCTGTAGGATGTAAAGGTGTTTGTTGTTCATCCCCAGAAACAGCAAACAATAAAACAACATGAATCTCTCCTTTCCTCTTCCAGAGGAATAACCCTAACCCTAACATGGGACCTAACCCTAACCCTAACCCTAATCCTAACCTAACATGGGACCTAACATGGGACCTAAGATAACCTAACATGGGACCCCCCAGAGGAGAGACCCCGTTTCCCTGCCTTCCACCAGAAACTCGGAGTGTGCAGCTCGGTTGTGGACCTCCAGGCCGTGGACCGGTACCTCCTGTTGGATCAGGGGCACCATTAGATTAGAAATAAAGTACCTGATAAGCGCATGATGCGCCTGAGTCATCCCGAAACCATCCCTACTCGTTCTGGTCTGTGGAAAAATTGCTTCCCACAAAATCGGTCCCTGGCGCCTGAAAGGTTGGGGCCTGCTGCTCTAAAGGCATATCTGCGTGTGTGGACCATGATGCTGGAAGGAGTCTTCTTTGGGAGGGGCTCATCAAGTGCTCCCCACAAACGGACAGGCCCCAGAAGGTCACTGCGGGGACCTACAGGTAATTTTGTGTCCACCCGACTGGCCACAGGTGCCCAGGTTAAGTAGTTTCTGGGTCTGTGTGAGGGGGTTTCTGGTGAGCTCAGCAGTGGAACGGGTGGTCTCAGTAACACAGGCACCTCCCCAGTGCGGGTGGGCCTCCCAGGGTGGGTGCCCCCGCCCCATGCGGGTGGGCTCATCCATCCGCTGAGGGTCTGGATAGAACAGAAGGTGGAGGAAGGCGGGATCTGCCCTTCTGCACCTGCCTCAGCGTTAAGCTGGCGTCATCCCATCTCCTGTCCCCGGGTCCTCAGACCCCCGGACTTGGGGTGACTCACACCACCTGCTTCCTGGGTCCCCAGGCTGCAAACAGCAGCTCATGGGACTTCTCAGCCTCCGCCATCACAGGAGCCAAGGCCTCATAGTAAACTTCCCTGGGGGTGCACAGGCCCCTCGTCCGTGTCTCTGGAGACCTCTGACTGCTACAGAGGTTAACAAACTGACACTAAACTTCAGCTAGAAGAACAAACACGAGCTCGTACCTGAGACACCGTCCTGGGTCTTCTCACTCGGGAGTCGGGAGTCGGGGTGACTACAGTGGCTGCCCCGCCCTGTCGTGGGTCAGCCGCAGGGGCGGGTGTAAACCTCGGGGCTGCTGCCCAGAAGGCACACGAGAGGAGGGCAAGATTGCAGGCGCCACAACTAGCAGGCTTTGGGAGGAGGGGTGCTGTCCTAGCCAGTATTTCGGGGTCTCGTGTGATGGCCGTGACTAGAGCCACACCTGTCATGGCAAGTGTCCAAGAGGCAACCAGTAGCCCAGAGCAGGCGGGAGGATGGCTCTTCTCAAGGCTGTCTGCTAGACCATCAGGTGTGAGCCTCCCCTGTGCAAAACGCCAACGTGGGGACTTCCCTGGTGGGCCAGTGGCTAAGGCACCACACTCCAGTGCGGTGGTTTGATCCCTGGTCAGGGAACTAGATCTCACACACGGCGACTAAGAGCTCCTATGCCGCAGTGAAGATGCAACTAAGATCTGCTGCAGCCAAATAAATAAATAAACATATATATATATATATATATATATATATATATATATATAATGTCAACGTGAAACCCAGATGGACAACAAAGTAAAAAGCACTGAATACAGCAGAGCAAGCTCTAGACTCAAGGGGACTCTGAGAACAGAGACTCTGGAGGAAGTTGCTTGCGGGTAGCTGGGCAGTACTTGTTTGCTGGCCTGGAGATGTGCACTGTCCCCAGAGCCAAAATTCCGCGGTCAGCAAAGTCAAAAGGCAAACAGGAGAAGAACATCTGTCGTGTATAGGGCAGGCCCAGGGTGGTACCCTGGGTACATAATCGCCACCTACACCTACAAATTGCCATGCAGACAGAGAAGGTGTTCCAGAAGATGGGAGGGGGTTGGCTGTCATCCCTGGAATTGAAGTTCCCGTACAGAGACGCCTGCTCTGCGCTGAGTTAAAGGAGAGGACCTTAGGATCCTGTGTTGGTGTTGGCAGCAAGTGGGTGCCCTGCCTCAGAGGTGCTGCATCAGGCTGGGGGGGGGACCCCTGGGGAGGGAGCAGGAGCCCGGGACGCTCCGAGTGGCACTGCCTTGTGGCCACCTAGGTAAGCTGTTCCTGGATCATCTCTTACCTGTGGGGGTCTGAATGCTGGGCACCTGGCCACTGGGGCTTCTGTGAGTGAAGTCTGGATTCAAGCCCAGGGTGGCAGGGCCAGGCAAGGTCAGGCCAGCTGCCACGCAGCTTCCACCTGGAACATACAGCTGTGTGAAACAGTCAGTTAAAACATGGCTTAAAAGAGACTGCATAATACGATCCTATTTGGTTAACAAAACATGTGTGTAAATGCATGTACATGTCAAGTATATATTTACATGCAAGTGATTATACATGTAAAAGACCTCTCAATGTACAAGGAAAACATGGAAGGTTAGAAGTGAATCCGGAGTGTTAAGAAATTATCTATTTGTATACAATTCAGTTGATTTAGCTTTGCTTTTTTGCTTCTCTTTATCTCATATTTTCTTTATGGTGAATATGTATTAATTGTGCAAAGAAAATAAAGGAAAATAATGGCAGCGTCTGTGGTTCAAACCGCATTTGCCGCCTGTGGAACATAAAGGCTCCAGTGAAATGGGTGATTGTGCATCTATAGCAGCATGGGGAAAGCGCGATGCTTGGAAAACCAGGTTGTATAGCTGAATAGACAGCTCACCTGGGGTCAGGTTAATGCCGAGGAGCCCTCCCCCACTTACCAGGGGTTGTTCTGGGCCCTGAGAATAAGGGGCGCCTCTGTAGTTAAATTTTGATACTTCCCTGTGTTCCCACGATGGAAACTGTGTCACAATAAGCCAGTACAAGACTCATGTTGGCGGGACTTCCCTGGCAGTCCAGTGGGTAAGAATCAGCCTGTCAGTGCAGGGGACACAGACTTGACTCCTGGTCCCAGAAGACTCCACGTGCTATGGGGCAGTTAAGTCTGTGCATCCTGGACCCGGTGCTCTGTAACAAGGGCTGCCGCCGCAATGAGAAGTCAGCGCACCGCGACAGAGAGAAGTCCCTGCTCTCTGCAAGTGGAGAAAGCCTGTGCCCAGCAGTGAAGACCCAGCACAACCAAAAATTAAAAAAAACAGGCCAGTTAAATGTTGGAAAAGGAAAGTGCATGCAAGGCCCTAATACAGAAGCCAACAGCGGACGTTCCCGGATAATTCACAAAGGGTGGCACGCAGCGGTGGCTGCGCCCACGAATCCACCCCAGCCTCATTGCTGTCCGCATCAACATGGGAATGACTTCTGGGTTTCCTTAGCATTTTGTTTTTGTTTTTATAACGTTTCACAATTAGCAAACGTGATTTTGGTACTGAAAAGCAATATTATTTTTCAAGCAGAAGAAATAAAGTCGGGGCAGTGGAGGTAGGCCCCAAATGCCGGGCTTTGTGCAGTTTTGAGCAAAAAGACACCTGAGGGACACAGCGTTTTTCTAAGATTGGTGTCAGTGGCGTGGACGTGGTGGAGGGACATCTGGGGGCACCAGGAGGGCGCTGCTGCTGCCCGGGGTGGGGGGGTGCTGGCTGGCCGCTGAGAGCCACAGGAGGATGACCAGAGTGACCTGGTGACCCCTCGGGTTTGGGGTGGATGGGAAAAGAGGAGGGAACATCAGCTCAGGCTTGGAAACCAAAGGTCTCCCGGGAGAAAGGGCAAAACTCCTGAGGGGGAGACGCAGGACAGAAAGCAAAACAAAAACAGAGGAAAAAAGGGAGAGCGTCTGGATGCCCACAAAATTCCAGGCACTGCAAGCCAGTGAGAGACCCTGACAGGCCATGAAGGGGGTCGTTTTATTCTTTTATTTTTAAAATTCTATTTATTTATTTGATTTTTTTGGCCATGTTGGGCTTTTCTATAATCATAACTAGCTGGCATCTTTCCCTTCGGGGAAGATTATGTGTTTGTACATAATACTAAGGTTTGCAGTAGACTAAGGTTTTGGAAAAACAGGTTCATCTAAAAAAAAAAGAAGGTCCAGCTATTCTAGTCACACTGCATGTTGACTGCTCTTACTCGGGACAATGGTCCCCTCCCCAGGCCCTTACCTCATTGAGACACATACTGGGGTCATGGGGGTCAACCGAGGCTTCGAGACTTGCGGAGACCCGAGGGGCTACACAGGGCAGCCCGGCGCGGAGGGCCAGGCGCTTCTCTCTCCGACGCCCTGGACCCTGGGTGAGACACCTGACCAGGCCTTCAGTGGGGCCTCGGGGTACTCAGGGGAGGCAACGTCTTGGCCGAAGGCAGCCTCCAGGCAGAAGCGTGCAGCGGCCCCGGTGCTCTTAGACTCTTTGTTTGCCGAGTCCAGTCCCTCCAGACCAGGGGAGGAATCACGTCACATTGACTGCTTTCCCTGGTGAGGCCGGCTAACTCCTAGCTTGCTGAGCTGCTGGCCGTTCCTCTTCCTGGCCCCTCGGCACGTCCCACATGAAGGTCCTGCCAACAGTGGAGCAGACGGTACCTGGAAAGGCTCTGTCCCCAAAGGCAGCAGCACCAGCCTCGCTCCTGCTCCTGCTGATGCTCACGGCATCTGAGGCCATCCCAGGCGCCCGCGGCTCGGGAGCTGACCGGCGTGCTGCAGAGCGGGCCTGGAAGGAGCTGTAGAAAGGTGTCAGGCTGCTGTCCACCCCATGCCCGGGAGGGCCCAGAGAGATCCAGGGCGGGCAGCCGACCGCTGATCAGCTGACCTGCTGCCCCAGGGACCCCCTTCTGCCTGTGGTGGGGGGTGGGGCGGAACCCAGGAGGTGGGACATGTGGGTGCTGGCCCGTGGCTTCTGTGGTGGACGATGGACTGCCCCCACCCCCAGTGGACCTGATGAGGGGGGCGGGACAGGCAGCGACCGGGTCGGGGGTGGGTCTGCAATCCTCCCTGCCTGCCTGCTGTGGTGCTGGGATGGAGGCCCCATCGCCTCTGTTATGCAGACAACGAGAGTGAGACTTGGAGACCCTGCCCATGGGCATGGAGCTGGTGATTTTCAGGTGAGGTGACGGAAGCCTGGTGCCCGGCCTGGTCACTCACCTGTGCTGACTGCCGCTCGTGGGGGAGTGTGACCCGGGTGTGACCCACCCGGGCTCTTGGCCTCCTTAATCAATAGAAATTATTAGAGGCCAGACAAGAAATTCAGGCCAGGAATGTGTGCATAAGCTCCATTCCGGGAGATACGGGCTACCTGGAGGGAGCTGAGAGAGAGAGTTAGTGCCTGCCTCCCAGGTCTCTGGAGAGGGTTTCAGTCAGCCCTAATCCATGTGTTTAATTAGCAGCTGGGCGAATTCCCTGGGGGTCCAGTGTTTAGGGCCCGGCGCTCTCACTGTGGTGGGCCTGCGTTTGGATCTGACCCCTGGTCAGGGAGCTTGGGGCCTCCCCGCTGACTCAGGGTGAGGAGCCTGCCTGCAGCGCAGGAGCCGCCAGAGACACACGTTCGATTCTTGGGTCAGAAAGCTCCCCTGGAAGAGGGCGAGGCAGCCCGCCCATGCTCCGGCCTGGAGAGTCCTGTGGACAGAGGAGCCTGCGGGCCACAGTCCTCGGGGTCGCCAAGGGGCAGACGCCCTCATTTGGCTTCACTGTGCCAGCAAGCGCATTTCCAGTCCCTTGCAGGTACTTTGTGTTTCGTTGGTGGGGGAGATGTCTGTCCAGGTGCAAGGCCGGCAGCAAACTGCCCCGGCCCAGCTGCTGTCAAACACCCAAAATTCTCCTCGCTGCGGTGTGGTGAGATGCTGCAGCGAAACAACTGCCGTTGCCGGAAGCGGCCCGAGAAGCAGGAAGCCAGAGAGCCCTGCAAAGCCTGGAGTAAAGCTTGGAATTCTATCAAGTACGGCCCCCACCTGTGTGACTGACAGAAGGAAAATCTCTCTAAATAACAAAAAAGCATCTCCCAGAACCTCACAGTGTTTCTTCATAGTGATCATCATTTATTCCAAAATTACCAGGTGCACCAGAAAACAGTTTCACACAAGCCAAGACAAATCACAGATGTGAATTCATAGGTCACCAATATTGGAATGATTAGAATGAACCTTAAAATCTGATGAATATGTTTGAGAAAATCAATGGGAAAAAATGGAGAATTTCATCAGAGAATTGAAATCTAAAGTAAAAGAATCATTTGGTAATTCTAGAACTGAAATATACAATAGCTGAAATGAATAACAGAATAGATGATTTTAAAAGCAGATCACACACAGTAGAAGAGAGGATTAGTGAAATGGAAATTATGTAAGTACAAAATACTCAGTTGGAAACAAGAAGGGGGAAAAAACAGGTAAAAATACATAGAATAAGACCTGTGAACAACTAAATAGATGGTTTTGAAAGCAGATTACACAGAGCAGAAGAGAGGATTAGTGAAATGGAAATTATGTAAGTAGAAAATACCCAGATGGGAACAAGGAGAGAAAAACAAGTATAAAAACACACAGGCATAGAGGACACAGTAAAAACCCAACATGGGTGTACCTGGAATCCTAGAAAGAGATTTAAAAATTTTACAAGCATTCAGGAAAAAAATTGTACCTTGCCTTTGAAGTGCAACAAAATACAAAAACCCCAGAATTTTTCAACAGAAATGATGCAAGCAAAGAAGACCATGCATGGAATGTGCCTTGAAAATGCGGCAGGGCAGTGACTGATGGCTCCAAGCTGCACCCTGGACGCGAGCAGCCCTCCTCCAGGCCCGGTCCCTTCTCCAGCCTCCAGGCTGCTCCTATTTGTGTCCCTGACGCAGGGCAGTGGCCAAGCCGCAGGGTCCCTCGAGCGCCCCACGCTCCAGGACACTCATCAAGCCCCGCCCCGGTCCCCACCTCCGGGGTCCACACAGGACACGTGGAGTCCTGCAGCTGGGCAGGCCTCCAGCCAGGGGGAGGGGCGGGCTCCCTCCTCCAGGCCCCCCATCTCCCCTCGTGAGGTCCAGGGACGCCCCCTGCCCCTCTCCCCACGGGATGGGGAGGAGAGAAGCCTCCTGCCCCCCAGGACTCCCTGCAGGAAGGCAGGTGTCTCTTCAGCCCCCGTCCCCTCTACCCCCAACCCCCAGGTTACATCTGCACCCATGGCCTCGGCTGCGGGAGGGAGGGGCCGGTCCAGCCTGGCTCTGGGTGGGGGCTGGGAGACCTCTGCTCTGGCTCCGGACCCAGCTGGGCGGGGGCCCCACCCCGTTCCCTGGCAGCCTCTCCCCGCTCTACCCAGTGACAGGTGCAGGAGGGAGACAGCCGTCCAGCGTCCAGCGTCCTGCGCAGCTGCTGCTCTGGGGCTGGCCTGGCTCTCTGTCCTGGGACCCTCTTCTCTGCTGCGTGGGGAGGGAGGCGCTCTCAGCGCCCCGGACCCCAGGTCTCTCTCTCGCCGGCTCCCTCGGGGTCCCCATGCCGGCGCCCTCCCTCAGAAGCCTGCAGCAAGCTTGGAGTTTGGGGCCAGCCCGGACCTCTGGGCCCCGTGCGCGTGTCAGGGAGGGGCAGGGGGCCAGCTGGATGTACTTTTAAACATGTCCCAAGTCCTCCCCCCTAGGGTGTGGGCTTGAAGCCCAGGTGGAGCTGGTGCAGTGACGGTGGGCCAGTCATCAAAACCTCGCAGCTTCTGTCCTGCGGTTCCCGGTCCCTGGGCATTGGGGAAGCCACCCACCCCTTGGTGAGGACACTGCAGGGCCCCTGGGGGAGGCCCAGGCACTACCAAGGGTCACATGAGGGAGCTTGGAGGCAGACCCCCCTCCCCAGTCCAGCCCAGTCTTCAGAGGACAAGCCCTGGCCAAACTGTGACCGCAGCCTCTGGAGACCCCGGGCCAGAACCGTCCTGTGAAGCCCCTCCCAGACCCCAGACCCACAGAAATTGTGAGATGATAAAGGCTTGTCATTTTAAGCTGCTGACTTTTGTGGTTATTTGTTAGGCAACAATTGATGACTAACATACTGAAATCTGGCCAGTAGAATATCGGACCATGAGGCAGTAATTTCATAGGACAAGTCTGAGGATCAAGCTGCCCATGTGAAGTCTGTTGAGGGTAGAAATACCCTGGGGTCCTCCCTGAGGAACAAGTACATGTGCACGAAGACAAGTCTTGTCACGGCAGCAACCTCTGTTGCCTCAGCGTGAGATGGGAGACAGAAACTCTGCTCTTCCCAACAAAAGACTAGCTATTCCGCCTGTTATCAGGCTTAACTGGCTAGGCCACCATGCCCTGTGGTGGCATGCTGGAGGATGCCCTGGAGGGCGAGATGCTGATGAGCAGGGCAGGCTCAGACCACCCTCCCCCAAGACTGAGACCCACTGCAGAGTTACAGTTCCCTCCTGGTCTGTACTCTGTCACCCAGTCGCATCTTGGCGACCTTTCGTATTGCATCTTGCACCTTGGGACCTTGCATCTTGGCGACCCTTGGCGACCCATGGACTGCTGTGTGGCTTCTCTGCCCTTCATCATCCTGGAGTTTACTCAGCCCTCCTGTACCAGATGGTGGGGGGTCTGTTCCTACTCCCATCATTCAGTGACACTTGGCATTTACTTTCAGAACAGCGTGAGGTTGAGGTTCAATTCACCCTTCCCCTCCTGTCAACGGGAGGGGACAACACCCTCCCAACACCACTGAACGGTCTGTCTTCTCCACAATGGTTCGAGACCCCTAAATTTCCACATTCCCGTTGGGTTTGTACTCTAGGTTTTAGTCCGTTTGTCCATTATCCCTGTACATACCATGTGGCTTAATGGATATAACCGGATATAACATTTTCATATACAGAAGGGCAATTTCCCTCTCCTTTAGCTTTCTTTCTTTCAGAATTTTCTTCTCCTTTTTTTTTTTTTTTTAAAGAATTTTGACTGTTCTTGTGGAGTATGTCATTCAGATGACTTTAGGATCAGCTGATTGAGTTATGTGAAAATCCTGTTGACATTATGGCTGGGATTAAATCGAATTTACACACTGACTCATTTAGAGTTTAAGTATTTACAACATTGCTTTCAAGTGGGAACAGGGCATTTTCGGATTTCGTTAGCGTTCTCATGGTCTTATAGTCAAGATTTAAGTTTTTTAAGAAGCGTGGTCTCGGAAGTTCCCTGCTGGCTTAGTGGTTAAGGCTCTGGACTTTCGCTGTGGCAGGCCGGGTTCAATCCCTGGTCGGGGAGCTGATATCAGGTCACGCGGGTGAGAGGAAGAGAAAATACGCTCTCGTGCATTTCTTTTCAGGCCCATTTCCGGGGACCCAACGGCCAAGACTCAGTAACAACAGAAACGTGCCTGCCGTGGGTGAGCACGGGCGGCACGAGCGACTGTTACGAGGTGGGGCCTACCGGCAGAGCGCGCGGGCGCGGAGCGCGGTGATACCGGCAGGCGGGGGCCGGGCCTATAGGCGCCGAGCCGGGCGGGCGGTCGGCCGCCGGGTCTCCACCCTCGACCTGAGCCGACCAGTCCTGAGCGCCCCTTTCCAGGCTCCGCCCACCGTGGGCCACGCCCGAGGCCCGGGATTCGCCCGCCAGCCCACCAGGCCCCGCCCGCCGTGCCCGGCGCGGCTCAGGCCCCGCCCACGAGTCGTGGCCCCGCCCCGCCCCCCTCCAGCCCGCTGCCCGCCGTTGCGGCCTGTGGGTCCGAGTCCCGAGCCCGGTGGCTGCGTTCCCGGCGCGGAGCGGCAGGTTCGAGTCCTCGGCCCAGGAGCCCGCGGCCGTCCCGGTGCGCGCGCGGCGAATCTGCCGCTGCGAATCGGCGGGTGCGGCGGCGGCGGCGGCCTCGCGAGAGTCTGAGCGGCGCGGCGGCGGCGGGTGCGGCGGCGGCGGCGGGCGGCCTGGAGCGCGGGCCGGGCCCCCGGAGCCGCCGGCATGACGGGCCGCGTGTGCCGCGGGTGCGGCGGCACCGACATCGAGCTGGACGCGGCTCGCGGCGATGCCGTGTGCACCGGCTGCGGCTCAGTGCTCGAGGACAATATCATCGTGTCCGAGGTGCAGTTCGTGGAGAACAGCGGCGGCGGCTCGTCGGCCGTGGGCCAGTTCGTGTCCCTGGACGGTGCGTCCCGGGGGGCGGCGGGGCGTCCCGGGGATCCCGGGGGGACGGGGGCGGCGGGGACTGGGGGGTGGCGTGCCGGGGGCCGGGGGGCGGGCGGCAGCGGCTCGGTAACGGAGCGCGGCCCGGGCCCCAGTCGTGGTCTCCCGCAGTCGCCTGGCCCCTTGGGGCCGGTTGTCGGGGGTCGAGGACGTCAGCCCGCCCCCACCCCGCGGTGGTCGGCTTAGCCCCGCGGCTCCGGGGCAGGGGTGTCCGCGCCTCGGGACTCAGTCGCCGCGCCGTTGAGGACGGAGCTCCCTGCCCCCCCGCCCGGCGCCCGCGGCTGGTTCTCCGGGGCCCGGAGCTACCCTTGGGGACCCGTTTCCGCTCCTCAGCTCGGGACCCCGGAGACGCGCCCAGGGCGCTTCGCACAGCGGGGCCCCTTCCTGGCCCACGGCGAGTCCGAGGCGATCCAGAGGGAGCTACGGGAACTTGGTGGGTGGCTCCTGCCGCGGACGCGGGTCAGTCCAGGACCGGATGGTAGCTGTGTGTTTAACGGGGTAACAAGCCAGCAGACTGGCTTCCCAGTGTGCAGCGCCGTTTTGCATTCTCGTAAGCTGCCTACCCGGGACTTGGTGTTGCCTGCACCTTTACATGTATTTTCCGTGTGTTCCGAGTGCTGTGGTGCCTCCTGTCCTTGCTAATGCTTTCCCCTAGGGCACAGTGATGTTAAACAGCTTTTAATCCCCCTTGCCGAAATGTCTGTTCCCGGAGTTTTGTGCATAGTTTTTAGGCAGGTGGTTTTCTTACTGTTTTTATACAGGTTGAGTTTTGAGCGTTCTTTAAATATTGTAGTTGCCAGACAGGTGATTTGCTAGACAGGTGATTTGCAGAAGTTTAAAATTTTGATTAAAAGCTTTAAAATTAGTTGCAGTCCCTTTATTGATTTTGTTGTTGTTGTTTAGTTGCTAAGTCGTGTTCTGCTCTTTGGGGCCCAGTGGACAGCAGCACTCCAGGCCTCCCTGTCTTCACTCTCTCCCAGAGTTTGCTCAAACTCATGCTCATGTCCATTGAGTTGGTGATGCCATCCAACCATCTCATCCTCTGTCATCCCCCTCTCTTCCAGATTGTACTTTTTCTGTCATTCTAAGAAATTTCCTAAGCCGGAGACACACTGTTCTCCTAAGTTTTATTTTTTTTAATGTTTTATATTTAGACTTAGGACCATTTTGAGTTTAAGTTTCATGTAAGGTATGGTGTATAGGTTGAGGTTTGTTCTTTGCAGGGGATGTCTGGTTGCTTCAGCACTGTGTTGTTTCTCTTTTTGGCCATGCCCCACCTGACCAGGCTTTGAACCTGGGCCTTGGCAGTGAAAGCCCAGAATCCCAGCCACTAGGCCATCAGGGAGCTCCCTCAGCACCATTTGTTGAAAGACTGCCCTCTCTTGAATTGCCTTTGCTCCTTTGGAGCATGTCACTGGGCTGTGTTTGTGTGGGTGTGCTTCTGGGCTTCCTGTCCCATTCCATTGGTGAGAGTGTCAGTCTGTCTACAGCACGTTCCCTCCTGTACATTTATCATAAGTCTTGAAATCAGACATTGTGATTCCTCCAGCTTTGGTTTTCCTTTTCAGAATTGCTTTAGTTATAGTATGTAGTTCCTTTCCCTTTTCTGTCATTCGATTTTAGAATAAGTTTGTGCATATTTACAAAAAAAAAATCCAACTGGGATTTTGGTTGGAATTGTATTAAATCTCTCAATAAATTTGGGGAGCTTTGACATTTTTGGGCTTCCCTTGTGGCTAAACTGGTAAAGAATCTGCCTGCAAAGTGGGATTCAATCCGTGGGTTGGGAAGATCCCCTGGAGAAGGGAAAGGCTACCCACTCCAGTATTCTGGCCTAGAGAACTCCGTGGACTGTGTAGTCCACGGGGTCGCAAAGAGTTGGACACAACTGAGTGGCTTTCACTTTCACCTTTTTACTATATTGTGTCTTCCAATCTCTGAGCGAAGATAGGTCTCTCCATTCATTTGGTTTTCTTTGTTCTTTCGTCATGTGTCATAGTTTTCAGCATATAGCTCCTGTACATGTTTTAGATGTTTACCTAAAATCCAAATAGAGCTTCTGTAAATAGTATTTTTCAAAAATCTGGTTCAATTGTTCAGTGCTAGACTATAGAAACACGGTTGATTTCTTTCATTGCCCTGTGTCCTGTGACCTCACTAAACTTACTAGTTCTAGGGGTTTTTACAAAAATAGGTTCCTTGAGATTCTTGATGCAGATAATCCTGTTGTTTGTAAATAGACATGATTCTTCTTGCTTTTGAGCAGACATGCCTGCCTCTTCCCAGTCTCAGTGGGGAGCCTTAAGTCTTCTCCCACCCAGCGTGATGTTGGCTGTAGGTTTGTGATACCTGTTCTCTATCAATAACATTGAGGACGTTCTCTTTCTAATCCTTGTTTGCTGTTAAGTTTTTATCATAAGTGGATGGTGAAGTGGTTTTTTTTTAATGTTTTTTCTTGATTCGTCTGTTTGGCTGCACCAGGTTCCAGTTGTGGCCCACGGGGTCTTCAGTCTTCACTGCGACACGCAGGGTCTTTAGTCGTAGCATGCAAGATCTAGTTTCCTGACCGGACGTTGAACCTGGGTCCCCTCCATTGAGAGTCTTGGCCACTGGGCCACGAGTGAAGTCCCTGGATGATGAGTTTAGTTTTCCTCCTTTGGTGTTTCAGTGTGGCTGGTTTTTGAACATTGAACGTGCTGTGCCTTCCTGGGGTAGACCCACCTGAGCATGGGGTCGTATGCTTTGTAGGTGTTGCCGGATTAGATTTCTTAATATTTTGTTGGGGATATTTATGTTTATGTTCATGTGAGAAATTAGTGTGCAGTTTTCTTGTATGTCTTTGTCTGGTTTTGATACCAAGGTAATGTGCTTCATGGAATGAGGTGGGAAATATTCCCTTCTCTTCTGTTTTCTGGAAGTGACTGTGTAGAACTAGTATTACTTCTCCGTTGACCGTTTGGTGGAATCCATCAGTGTAGGTCTCTGGGCCTGGAGGCTTCTTTTTCAGAAGTTTTTAATTACAGGTTGACTTTCTTTAGCAGTTATAGGTTTTACTTACTTTTAGATTATCTGTTTCATCTTGGGTGAGTTTGTGGTTTCCAGGACTTGGTCCATTTGATCTCTGTTGTTGTGTTTATGACCGTAGTGTTGTTGGTGCTGTTCCCTTATTCTTTTGATGTCCGCAGGGTCTGTAGTGGTGTCTCCTCCTTTCAGATATTGGTGTTTTGTGTCTTCTCTCTTTTTCACTTTGTTTCTCTTGCTGGGAGTTTTGTCAATTTTATTGATCTTTTCAAAGAAGCAGTTTTGGGTTTTGTTGCTTTTTCCTCTTGTTTTCTGCACCGCACAAGGCCGGAGATGTTGAGGAGCAGTGACCTGTGTGCGCGGCGTCCTGAGTGATGGCCGCAAGGGCGGTGCTGGGGACTTCGGGCGTCTTCTAGGTGACGGGCAGCTGGGGAGGGGTGGGCGTGGCCGAGGGCGGGATGGATGTGAGGAGCGCAGGGTGCCAAGGCAGTGGCTGGAGCTGGGCAGTCAGGTCTCTGGGTCCTGGGGAGGGGCCTGTGTGCTGTGGGGCTCAGGGCAGGGGAGGGCTTCCGGCACAGGCCTGTCAGCATCCTGTGCCGCCCGCGGTGCTGAAGGTCTCTCCCCCAGGCTCCCTGCCTGACGGTGCCCAGAGCCCCTGCCGGCCCCCTGGGAGCCAGGCCGCTGCTCCCTGAGGATGTGGCCTGGACGCAGACGCCAGCACCTTGCAACCCTGCCTCCAGCTTCCTCGGTCTTGCCCTCTTCTGTGGTGCGCCTCCCGGGGGTTCCATAATCACAGCTCTTAACTGCTGCAGTTTGTCCCCGAAGCCATGGTGCCTGCGGGTGCCCGTGTTCTCGCACTTTGGAGGAGTGAGGTGCTGGCCTTGGCGATGCTGGGAGGAGGCCCTGGAGCAGGTGGGGCTCCCTGGGCCCTGAGGGGCAGCCGGCCCTCCCGCCCCCTGCCTGGCATGTGGCCCCCGGGGCCTCTCTCAGGCATAGCCACCCTGTGTCCCAGTCAAGCACTGGTCCTGGAGTTTTGAAGGTTCTGCTTCCCTGTTTCTATCCTTTCTATCCGGAAGGGACCTGCTCCCAGGAAGTGGCTGAGTTCTGTCCTGGAGGCACCTGGGTGAGAGGACCTTGTTCCTAAAATGTCCCGTGCTGCTGGGTCACCTGGCGTGCTCCATGCTGGGTGGCTTCCACAATCAGACCTGCAACTGTGACGAGAGGCTCTTTGGTAGCTCTGAGTCTGGTTGAAAGACATTTAGGCAGCTGCCCCGGTTAGCTGTTTCTTCACCAACGTCCGATGTCTGTGTCCATCCACAAGCCTACGCCCTGGCTCAGTGCGGACTTCCCAGGACCTTTCGGGTGCTTTAGAAGAGTTATCCCCACGTCCGAGCTTGGGCTGAAGGGCCACTGGATTTCCCTTCTGTCCTGGAACTGCCCAGCTGGACCTTGTGTGGTCGTCCCCCATTAAAAGGAGTTTCACAGCAGCGACAGGGACCCCTCCCTTTGAATAGTGAGGACAGGCCTCGGAAGCGCTTGGCCTATCTGTGTTGGACGGGCCTGTAAGTGAACTGGAGGACAGTGCAGCGTGCCGCTTTTCTCTGTCTGCTCTTGGGGCGTTGGTGTTTCCACTTGTCCTCCATGCTTAGAGTGGCTGAGCAGGGCCCCCAGTCTCCCCTCCGCCTCTGTGGAGTTGCAAGGGTCAGTCTTGGACCTTCTTGCTTTTGCAGACCCCAACCCCAGGGGCCAGGACCCTGGGTGCAGTTTCTGGCCGCACCCATGCTGTCCACACGGGGGTCTTGGCCCACCTCAGGTGATGGAAACTGCATCTTCTACTTGATAGTTTTAGCTGGTTGTATCTTGTTTGTTACAGGATCTTGTTATAGAAAATATCAGATTTTTTTTAGAAGCAGCGGGAACAGTGTGAAGGGCCTCTGAAGGAGTAGCGCAGCATGCCCTGCTGGTTTTGGCCAGAGGTGGAGCTCAAACTTTCCTCCACGCTTCAGGGGAGCCCAGCCCACTGTGTGAGTGGTCTGAGATTTGCTGAATAAGCACTTTTCGTCCCTTCCACCACTGCTCTCCTTTTGTGTCTACTGTAACCATGTCCCCAGGGGCTGGTGTCTGTCAGATGAAAGAACCTGCATCCACTTGGCAAGCAGGTTTTGCACCCCGCCCCTCCCCTCCCCTGCTGGCCGGGCCCAGGGAGGCTCCTTCCTTGCCAGAACTCAGTCCCTGTGTCTCCTTGGCATGTGGGGGACTGAGGCTATTCACAGGCACCTTGGAGAGCACCAGTGGTGTGTGTGCGAGGGTGTGCATGTGTGAGGGTGTATGCAAGTGTGTGCATGTGCAAGGGTGTGTGTGCAGGTGTGTGCGTGCGAGAATGTGTGAGTATGCGTATGCAAGTGTGTGCGTGTGCGAGGGTGTGTGAGTGTGTGTGTGTGCTCGTGCGTGTGTGTGTGAGGGTGTGTGAGTCTGTGCGAGTGTGCATGTGCAAGTGTGTGCATGTGCGAGGGTGTGTGAGTGTGTGCAAGTGTGTGTGCAAGGGTGTGTGAGTGTGTGCGAGGGTGTGCAAGTGTGCGTCTGCGAGGGTGTGTGAGCGTGCCTGGGGCGAGCGAGTCAGGAGCCAGCTCCCTGAGCAGACGTGGCTGGGCAGTGCCAGGGCGGGTGCTGGGGGCATTGGAGAGATGGGGGGACAGCCTGCTGGAGAGGGAGTCGGGGAAGAGCCGGAGGGGAGGGGCGGGGCGGGCTTCAGGCCCTGCACGGCACTGAACACTCACCCCAACTGCCTCCACACTGACCTGGCAGCACCTCTGTGCAGTCCCTCCTAGTCGCCCCCATCTGTCCAGGCAGACGGGGAGGTGGCTGGGAGGGAGGCCCCCAGAGTCCGTGCTCCTGGAATCCGGGGCTTCAGCGGGTTTAGACTGCTTCGCTGCCCATCCTCTAGTGCAGAATTCTTGTAATAGTTTATTTAAGACACAGGCTCATTTCAGTTCATATGGTGATTTTTTTTCCCTTCTTCTGAAATGAAAGTTGGGCAGCACTGGGACGCTGCACACAGGTCACAATGTGGTGGTCCTAGGCAGGTGACTTCTTCAGTGGTTCCTATGTCTAAAAGATCACAGATGCTCTTTAAAGCGTCTTATTAGTCTTGGTTTGGGGTTTGGGTGCAGCCACAGATCAGCCGAAGGCCAGCTTGCTCCCCCACTGTCTGCGTTTGTGGCCCAGACACAAACTCCATGGATGTCCCAGAGGAGCCTGCCGGCCCAGGACCCGGGCCGTGTGTTTTCCTCGGGGGCCCGCTCTCAGATTTCAGAGATCTGCTTCTCCGCTTCCTGTCACTTGAGCCTCCCCTTGGTCCTCCCGCAGGCCCTGTGGCCCGGTGTGCAGTCACGGCCCCTGACTCGAGGAGCGTCTGGCCCTGTGGTCTGTGCTTTGTGACAGACAGGCTGGCCTCTGGCCAGGCAGCTCCTCCCGCCCCACTGCTGTGCTCCGCTGCCTGGACTGGGGCTCACTTGAGCATCACGCTTCAGGGCTGGGGCTTGTTAAGTCTGGTGAACCATCAGATGTCCACCTGGCTGTCTCCAGAGGAGGCTGTCAGGGCCGAAGTCCAACCCTGAAGCCCTGCGGAGCAGAGTATGAGAGACCTCATGGAGTGGCTTGGAGTGGGTGGGAGATTCAAGCCAGAGTGCTCGTGGGTGCAGCTGCGGTCACGCTCTGGAGCAGGGTCCTTAGATCGCTGCTGCGGGTGGGTGGGTGGGGAGAGAGCGCAGTGAACACAGGGGTACACGCGTGGGTGCCTCCTGCAGACCGCTGGCTGAGAGGCCCCACAGACCAGGCACCCCCGCTCCAGGAGCCCGCAGCCCCCTCCCTTGGAGCCGGCCGTGGCAACCTCGGGAGGGGCTGGCCCAGGGCTGCAGGGCCGAGTGAGGGGCTGGGCCTGCCCTGCAGCCTGGGGAGGCGGGTGCTGTGTGACGGTCTCCTCCGGGCTCCAGGGCAGGGCAGAGGAGGCGGTGGGGTGGGGGTCACTCACTGCGGACTCCTGGTCTGCATGCTGACCCCTCTGAGTTCTTGCTCCGGAAACACCAGGTGCGACGAAACGCGCTGTTGACACGGATCTCTGCCAGCTTCGGCTTATCCGTCTGATCTGTGTTTCTAGGTGCTGGCAAAACCCCAACCCTGGGCGGCGGTTTCCATGTGAACCTGGGAAAGGAGTCACGAGCACAGACCCTGCAGAACGGTATTTCCCTCCAGGGGGCTGCAGGGGCGGGTGGGTTCCCGGGCCGGATGGGGTGCGGGGTGAAGGGCGAGCGTGGGTGGCCTGCAGTGACCTGCACGCCTGCCGGGAGGAACTGTCCCTGGAGGCCCCGTCCCAGCCGTCAGGCCCCTGCTGGGCACCCCGGGCTTGCTGCAGTCACTGCGGGGCTGCTCTGTGCGCCCTCGGGACCCAGTGGGCCCGCGCCTTCTGATGCTGGTCAGTCTCGGTGAGCACAGAAATGACGTGGAGACAGCAGTGTGACCCGCAGAGTGACCCCTTCTATTGCGTTTTCTGACAGAGCCAGCCTGCAACAGGTGGGAGAGATGTCTGTCCTGACCCTGGCCTGGTTTTAGTTGGGTTGTCTTCTTAAGTGGTAAAAGTTCTTTATGCGTTTTATACATAAGTCTGTCATTGGTTCTATGATTTCCAAAAAATGTTCACCCGTTCCGTGGGTTGATGGTGAACTGTGAAGCACAAAGGATTTTTGTTTTGAAGAGGTGTGGCCTGTTTACCCATGCTGCCTGTGCGTCTGTGTCGTTAGTAAGAAAGACTGCCTGAGTCAGTCCAAATAGCAGAGGTTTATAAAGCTGGTGTTTCCGTCCAAGTTTTATGATTTTAGCTCTAAGACTGAGGTTTTGGTCACTTTGAGTTAGTGTTTGCGTCTGGTGTGCAGGTGAGTGCCCACCTGCACTCTTTTGCACGTGGGTACCCATTTTCCCAGCGCCACGCTGCGGAGGCTACTCATTCATGGCGCCCTTGTCCAGAGGCGGCGACTCTGAGGGGTTTGGGTTCTCACCTCCTTCCCACAGGCTTATGTCTGTCCTTTTGCTGGTATCACACTGTTTTGCTTGTTGCATCTTAGTACCCCGTTTTGAAATCAGGAAGTTTGACTCCTCCCAGTTTGTTCTTCATTTTTAACACTGTTTTGTTGCCTGTTCTGAGTCCCTTGAATTTACAGACAAGTTGATGAGTCCAGGGACAGGGACTGGAGATGAGTCTGGGAACGGGGTCCAGCGGAGTCTGAAGATGAGTCTGGGGACGGGGACCAGCGGGGTCTGAAGATGAGTCTGGGAACGGGGACCAGCGGCCTCTGGAGATGAGTTTGGGGACGGGGACCAGCGGCCTCTGGAGATGAGTCTGGGAGTGTTGTTCTGTTAACCAGGTGGAGTCTCCTCACCCCTGGTTCAGAGTGCCTTTCCATTGGTTTAGGTCTTCCTTAACTTGTTCAAACAATTTTTGTGGTTTTCAGAGTATAAGTTTTACATTTTTGCTGATTTATTTTAAACATTTCATCTTTTTGGTGCTATTGTAAATGGAATTGCTTTATTTCATTTTTTGATTGTTTGTTGCCAGTGTATAGAAGTATGATAGATATTTGTATACTAATCTTATATCCTGCAACCCTTGAAAATCCCATTTAATAGTTTTTTAATGGATTCCTGAGAATCTTCTATATATGAGATCATGACATCTGAAAATAGATATAGCCTTGCTTTACTAGTATAGGCACCTTTTAATTTCCTTCCCTAACAGCACTGGCTGGAACCTCCAGCACCACACCGCGTCCAGGTGTCTCGTTGCTGATTTCGGGGGATGCACCGTGCTTTCACAGCTGGGCACGATGTTGGCTTCGGTCACAAGGCAGGGCACGCCTGCGGGGCACCTCAGGCCTCTGTGAGCACCCTCTCAGGGACATGCTGGCACCCGAGTGCCTCCCATCGGGACGAGTTGCCAGGCTTCGCAGCCCTCACCTGCACACTGGGTGAGGTGGAGCATCCTTCCCTGCAGCCTGGTCTCCTCCATGGCTCTCGAGGACCCGCCTGGCTGCCCACTGCCGCTGTGGATGGGGGCGGCCAGCACACCCTCGGCCAGCCACTCCCCAGTCCAGCCGGGCTTGACGACGGTGTTGTTGACTACCGAGAGGGCAGGTGGTGGGCTTCTAATTATGGCCCGCATCAGAATGTGTTAGGAGTCCCAGTGAGCTTTTCCCTTTGACCCTGTGGATTGTTAGTGTTGTTGGCTCTTTTCTTATATCCAGCTAGATTCTTCTGTGTTTAGATACAATATTCTGCAGGATTTCAGTCTTCTGAATGATTTGACTTCACGGCCCACGTCTGTTTGGTCAGTTGCAATCAGTTTGGACACGTGAAAAGAACATGTTTCTGCAAGAGGTGGGGTGTTGTGTGCACACCCCTGGGGCCAGCCTTCCTTCCAGGGCTCAGTGATCCTGGCTCCGCTTGTCTGCCTGTCGCTGCAGGAGCATGTTAAAGTCTCCATGATGGCTGGGGATTTGTCCCTTTCTACCCATAGTTTTGTTGGTCTTTTGTTTTGCCTGTATAGACTATGTGTATACAGATTTAGGGCACACAAATTTATTTATTTGTTTAGGCTACATCACGTGGCTTGAAGGATCTTAGTCCTCTGACCAGGAATTGAACCTGAACCATGGTGTTGGAGGACTTCCCAGGTGGTGCTAGTGGTAAAGAACCTGCCTGCCGATTCAGGAGACATGAGATACGGGTTTGAGCTCCGGGTCGGGAAGATCCCCTGGAGGAGGGCATGGCAACCCATTCTAGTATCCTTGCCTGCAGGATCCCATGGACAGAGGAGCCTGGCGGGCTGCAGTCTGTGGGCTCACAAAGAGTTGGACTGATTTAGCACTCACAGTGTTGGAAGCCTAGAGTCCTGAGCGCTGCGTCTTTAGGGAGCTCCCTAGTGCTCACCTGCTCACCTGCTCACCGAGCAGAGTGCTTCCTGCTGGCAGCCTGTGCTTGCGCTGCCGCTGCCGGCCCCCCTGCCGGAGCCTGTGCCTGCGCTGCCGCTGCCGGCCCCCCTGCCGGAGCCTGTGCCTGCGCTGCCGCTGCCGGCCCCCCTGCCGGAGCCTGTGCCTGCGCTGCCGCTGCCGGCCCCCCTGCCGGAGCCTGTGCCTGCGCTGCCGCTGCCGGCCCCCCTGCCGGAGCCTGTGCCTGCGCTGCCGCTGCCGGCCCCCCTGCCGGAGCCTGTGCCTGCGCTGCCGCTGCCGGCCCCCCTGCCGGAGCCTGTGCCTGCGCTGCCGCTGCCGGCCCCCCTGCCGGAGCCTGTGCCTGCGCTGCCGCTGCCGGCCCCCCTGCCGGAGCCTGTGCCTGCGCTGCCGCTGCCGGCCCCCCTGCCGGAGCCTGTGCCTGCGCTGCCGCTGCCGGCCCCCCTGCCGGAGCCTGTGCCTGCGCTGCCGCTGCCGGCCCCCCTGCCCGGAGCCTGTGCCTGCGCTGCCGCTGCCGGCCCCCCTGCCCGGAGCCTGTGCCTGCGCTGCCGCTGCCGGCCCCCCTGCCGGAGCCTGTGCCTGCGCTGCCGCTGCCGGCCCCCCTGCCGGAGCCTGTGCCTGCGCTGCCGCTGCCGGCCCCCCTGCCGGAGCCGCACTCGGGCCCGCCTGCTGTCCTCTAGGTGGCGCTGTCGTCTTTCTTTTTCTCTGCTCCCCCCTGTAAGACGGTCTGCATGTGAAGAGCTTTATTCCCAGTAGAGAATGGGTCTGTTTCCAAAAGCCCAAAACAGGTTGTCCATCGGACCCAAAGCAGTTGTAAAGAGTAGCATTTTTAGCGCCACTAAAACGCTAGTTTAGTGCCAGTAATACTGAAAGCAGTTCATGCAGACGTATTCACGGAAGTAAAATGGGAAACCAGCGGTGCAGAGAAATACCCCGTCTAATTTAAACACGGCTTAGTTTAAGAAGGCCAAGTGGAGCTTGCGGGCTGCTGGGAAGGGGGTCAGCGCGGTCTCCCGCTTGGTGGTCGCCTTCGCCCCTTCTCCGGGCTCCAGCCCCGGTCAGCACCTGGCACCCAGGGAGGGGCCTGCCTCCCCTCCAGCGTCTGCATCCTGTCCCTGCTGGACGGGGCTGTGGGGGCCAAGGGTGGCCGTGAGCTCCAGCTCTGACTCTGCTGCTCTTGTCCAAACCGGCTTCTTCCTGGCGGCCCCACGCTGTCCTTGCCCCTCCATGCATCTGCTGTGTGCCGGCCTTGCCTGTCCCCGGAGATTGTCTGTGCTTTTTTCTTTGTCCTGGTGAGTTTATGCGGATTGTATGTCCTTACTGTCATCTTCTGTTGCTTTCGGAGGAGAGATAAAGGCGGATTCTGTGTGTTTCCCAGACATTTGTTGATGTGTTTCTGATGAGCCGGGGCCGCGTGTGTGACCGCAGGCCTGCACGCCGACAGGGTGTAGCGTGCTGCTTGTGCCGCAGGAAGCTCCCTGCCGTCCGGTAGCTTTTGTCTTATTTCATGTCTGCGTTCATCTTTCCGAACAGCATTTACGGGTGTCTGCCGATTTAATCGTGCGTCTCTTTCTCCTTCTGTTGGGTACCTCCTCCAGGCCCAGGGTCTGGCGGCTCCCCTCCACGGCCCTCCTGGGGGTTGGTCCCCCTTCTCTCCACCGCAGCTGCTCTGTTCTCCCATGGGGGCACCTGCACTCCCGCTTCCTCCCGCCCGCCCCCAGCCTGTTGGGTTGGGTTGAAATCTATGGATTTACCTTCAGTTGTTACTATTTACGTTCAGTTTTGGGTGCCTTTCTTAGAAAACAAGAGAGAATTGGAGGAGGAACAGACGGTCTGGGTTGCGGTCCCACTTACACGGGGTCTGCACCTCCTGCCCCCAACCCCGGAGGCTGGTGCCCCAGATCCCCCACCCTGGAGGCTGGTGCCCCAGATCCCTCTCCTGCTCCTGCTCACTCGGGGTTTGTGCCTCCTGCCCCCACCCCGGAGGCTGGTGCCCCAGATCCTTCTCCTGCTCCCGCTCACTCAGGGTCTACACCTCCTGCCCCCACCCCGGAGGCTGGTCCCCCAGATCCATCTCCTGGTCCCACTCACTCGGGGTCTATGCCTCCTGCCCCCACCCCGGAGGCTGTTCCCCCAGATCCCTCTCCTGGTCCCATTCACTCGGGGTCTACGCCTCCTGCCCCCACCCCAGAGGCTGTTCCCCCAGATCCCTCTCCTGGTCCCGCTCACTCAGGGTCTACGC